CATTGTTTGATTGGAGTTAACATTCTCATGTTTGTCATAATTTGGTATGTTCAACTAAATGAAAACTAACGTAATAAACTAGAACAAAGAGAATGACTTAAGAAATAAAATGTTGTTGACAGCCATCTCTTGGTATGTTAGCAAGCATGATGACCAGAGCATAGATTTGAAAACATTTCCGTGTTTCTTAAGGAGAAAAAAAGTCGTCTCCTTTTTGCAATGACTGCAACAGATTCCTGTTCTCATTGAGTAGTACTTAGTGATAATTTTGCTGCCTCTGCTTTGCCATGCATTGGGATGTGCAGAGGTTTGCAGTCTCTAGGCCACAGGTGCTTGTCCTGGCAAGATTGCTGAAATGCTGATTTGCCAGCTGGTGTTGCCCGGGGCAGTGTGTATGTTTCTACAAAACTGTGGGAAACGTAGTTATATGTATGTTAGTGTATCTAAGGCAGCCGTTTCTGATGGTGTATAAGTTGCAACAAGAAGCAAGCTTAAGAATGTTTTTGCTTTTCCATTGTTGTGAGGCAGAGCAAGGTTGGTAAGAAATGAATTATGTCTGTGCTAGAGAAAGGGCTTGGGTCTAAGACAAAAAGAAATATATTTGGATTGTTCTTTTTCTGTGCTTTAAATTACATCTGCATTTGTTTTTCTTCAGATAACCCCTAGTGAAAGTAATGGTTTATTATATATGTTAAATGATTTTCTGCTTGTCATCTTTTTGCATGAGTTGGCTAATTTATGAAAGGCAAATGCATTTAGCTTTCTGCCCTGTCAACTGACTGCTCTCTAGAAATAAAATGAAGCAAACAAACAGAACTGCAGACTACAGTGGCAAAACCACTAGAAGATCAGGTTTTGAGAAGGAAGATCTGATCAGTGGCTTTTCAGGGATGTAGTGTCTGCTGCCAAAACCTGTATCTTGATTGATCAGCTAGGAAAAAGGAGTTAGTTTTGAAAATGGGACAGGTGGGAAAAATTCCTTCCTTCCATCCATCTGTCCTTCCTTCTGTCCTTCCTCCCAGGAATGAAGGTTTTGCAGCTTCTTGTTGTATCTCACACCAGAGTTGATGAGCAATCCTTTAAGTTACAGAGATAGGAAAACCCCAAATGCAATACCTGTATTAAAACTGGTATTGTGGGCTCCCCTTCTTTATAGAGGGACTCATAAGCACAGTTACCTTCTTGTGATTTTTCCATTGAGTTCAGCATCTGCTTTTTAAGTTATGACTATAGTACAGTCCCTTTACTAATGGGCAGAAGGACTGGGGATGGTGGGACTTGAAATGGAGTTCAGAGGAGAGACGAATCTGAAATGTCTTTCGGATTTTAGGTTCAGTGAAGCTTTAGGGATTTAATGGCTGAGAGTTTGGGCCTCTGTTGTGTGATTATACAAACAGGACAGCTGAGACTTGGCCAAAAAATCCTGCTTTGCATTGAATTTAATTTCATAACACTAATTATTGAGATTAGAGTGTTTTTGTTGATGATCGCTCTTCAGAGATGATGTATCAAATTGTATTCATTGCAGAAGCATGAAATACTGTGGCTTTAGCTTTAATAATGTTTTTTTCCAGATATTAGTAATTATGGAAGGATTCTATTATATTGCTTGTGTATTGTTTTTTAATGGGTGAAATACTTGGAAAAGGAATGAATAAAAGGAGAATTTAAAGAATGAATAGTTTTTGCTGGGCATGTTGCTCACAGTGAAGACCAGACTAATTCATTTTCCTAATAAGGCTGTGCTGGAAGTTGGAATGTTTTGAATTGCATTAAATGTCACAAAAGTATTCATCGGAGAGGAATGGCTTGTGGTATGTTTAGAGAGCAAATTGATCATGTTTGGTCAAAAAGAACTGTTTACACAGGCTAAATATAGCTTTTTTTTTTTTTTTTTTTTTCCCCTGAAAGAGTAAATGAATGATGTAGAAGCCTGTACAAAAACTTTGTGCGCTTTCATTTTCAGTATTAGGCTGTCAGTAAGTGATGGCTGCTGCTTCTATTTTTGTTGTCTATAATAAGTTGTATGAAGCTCAAAACTGTAATGGTTTGCCAAGGTCTTTTGTGTGAGTTGTTTATAATAAGCATTTATACCAAGCTTTTCTGTCTTTGCTTTGTTTGTATATTATTGTAAATATTGCATAAACCTATATACTGAACTGTTAGTTTTAAATCATTCAGAAAATATCCTACTTCAAGCCATCCTGCTTTTCTAGTAAGTAGTAACAGGGCAAGTGTGTCATCTCATTTGGAAAGCCTTTATCATCAGTTATTCATACATTCAACGTGACCAAACCAGCATGAAATCCTAATGTGTTTAATTACTAGGTGGCAAGCGAAGTGCTAACAGCTAAGAAAATGTACAAGATTCTGCAGTTTAATTATTTTTTTGCTATGCAATTTGGTAGTATCTATCAAAATCCTAAGGGAAATAGCCCTGAAGGAAGTATTCTTAAATGTATGTGTTGGATGTGTTTTGCTTTTCAGCTTGAAGTGTGCATTTCCTTTTGTACTGTCTTGTCTAACCACCATGCATTTTTCACATTCAGATCTTGGTGGCTCAGTTTGCTGGATGAGCATTTTCTTTATACGATAAGGGATAAATCACAGATTTTAGGCTGATTATGTTCTGAAGTCAACAAGGCCAAGTTAAACTGTTTGAAGTATGTCTGGGACACACAAATTTATGTCCTTGTTTCAAGTATGTTAGGGGGAAATAAAGTAATGTTGTGCTGTCTGACTCTAATGTTAAAAGAACATTGGGAACATTTCCATTATCAAGTCTTTTTTTCACCCTTGTTTTCTTTTTCTTCGTTTTGTATGATATTTTTGAAGATTAATTTTGAAGAGTATGTCTTCAGATCATCTGGAAATAGCGGTTTGAAATAATTTTTGTGCAGTGCTGTATTGACGAATGCAGAGCAATCTCATCCATTGCAAACCCAAATTTGATTATTTTGTAAAAACAAAATGATTAAGTGTGTTCCTTTTATGAGACTGGAACTTCAAGGTCCAGCATTAGCAAAGAGAAGTTTTTTTTCTCAAGCATGAGATACGGTAGTTGACTTGAACAATGAACGTCTTTCTCTTCTTACTGTTAGATCAGCTTAATAAATACACAAAACTTTCCAAGTTACTTTATTAAAAAACATATGCCTAAGATACGGAGCAAGATGCATGTTTCCTTCTAACTCAGGTCTTAAAAAAGAAAGAAAAGTTTCCATATGTGGTGGCATTTTTTTTCCCTCTCGTTTCCTTTGTTGCTGCAAATTGACAACTCTGCAATTAGGAGTGATTAATGATGCACCCCAGTACTTTGCAGGGCTGGAGGTCAGCCTTCTCATAGGCTGCACGCTCTGTGAGAAAGGGGAGAACAGACCTGTACCTCAGAGCTGGCAAAACCCTCTCTCTATTGATGTGGACATAATGTGTGTCAGCAGCAATGCACAAATGGTGAAGGCAAAGTGCAGAAGATGATCTTTTCATGAGATTATTTTTCTTCTTTCTTTTCTTCTGCCAACATAGCATATGGATTATATGCATCTCCCTTTTTATAAGTTAGTTACTGAACCTGCAGCAGGATTGCTATTGCTGGAATCTGATGAGCCCTGAGGGCCAAATGGCTTTCAGGGAAGGGGCAAACATTTTGAATGTAATGAATAAAAAGAAAAAAAAAAGGGGGGGGAGAGAGAAAAAAAGAAAAGGGAAAAAAAGGGAAAAAAAAAGAAAGGGGGGGGGGGAAAGAGGAAAAAAAGGAAAATAAAAAAGGCGTTGTTAAATGGACCAAGTGTGCCTAATTCAAATCTAGCTCTCCATGTTGTTGTTCTGGTAGAAATAGAAAAGCTGGTTTATACAATAGAGGTGTTTTAAATCGTAGCCTCTGTTAGGGGATCTTTGGTTAAATGAAACTTTTTGCCTCCCTGGCAAATTATCTTTTGGACATGAGAATCCAGCTTCAGTTCTTCAAAACCCTATTTAGAAGATACGTCGGAAATTGGGGTTGTGTGATTTCAGGCAGGATATGATTGCTGGTCCTTGGATCATTAAGAGTGCCAGCTTTGCTGAGCAGCTACCAAATATGGCCAGAAATGTTTTGAAATGTGGCAGGAAGCTACTTTTCCACCAAAACAGCATGAAAAAACTTAAGTCTATCAGCAGCAATGCTTGCAGACGAAATGTTAGTGTGTCAGATTTTTTGCTGGTTTGGGTTTGTTTGTTTTCTAATTTTTTGTATGTGTGTATTTTTGCATATAAGTATATGCAAAGCTGAAAAAACCAATCAAGTGAGATGCCTTTACCTGTAACATGTTGCCAGTTCACTTTAGGTGTAACAAAATCTGTGAATTCTTTATCTTCTTCATCCTTTTGGTTGCGATACTTCCTTTCCTTCCCACCACCCCATAGTAGTTTCAGTGCACCCATTGTTTGGAAGAAATTTTTTTGCTATCTGCTGTGAAGTTCAAGTGACATTAACCTTACCTTTGAAGACCAAAGACTGTGCAAAAAGTTTCTGTATTATTTAATTTGCGAAGTCCTTCAGAAGGATTTTTGTTGTTGTTGTTGTTGTTCTAAAAGGAAGCTTTCTGTTTTAAGCCTGAATAAAGGTTATATGCTGTTTAAAATTCAATTTATCTGACCAGAGCTTTTGAGTTACGTGACATAGTTTCTTATGAAAGGATGGAAACCAGTAAGCAAATTGGAGCTGAAGTCTCCTAACTGGTGATACGGTATTATGAATTTATAAATCAAATAGTACTTGATGATAGATGCTAGAGTTCCTAATGTTGTATCTGGGTAAATTAATCCAGTTTGGTTTTGCCTTTTCCTTATATTAACAACAATGTTGTAGGTTTAACGGCAATGCTTCTTGTTTCCTTTAGAGGAAACAAAATGAAATATATTATATATCTGTGGGTGGAAGTGGTGAGTTGGAACAGGGAAATGCTTAAACACTAAAGAACTTGGTTTTTATGATTATTTATGTGTTTCTCCTCTTCCAGAGTGTCTTCTGTACCAAAACCCGATCTTGTTAATGTACCAAAGGTATGTTGATCATCACAACCAAGAAATGTAGCATGTGGCACTAACTTTTACCCATCTGTCAAACCCTGTTGTTGATAAGCACTGTCATTCAAACTTTCCTTTCAATATAACATGCTTGATTTCCATGTGTTTCATTAAGAGTATTGCAGCATTTGAATCTTTGAGTGATCCATTCCCCGCCCCCCCCCCCCCCCCCCCCAAAAACAAAAAAAACCACATACGCAGATA